TTAGTACTTTGTTGGAATGGGTGAGAAAATCAATGATTACAAGTTTCTCCCTTGGGCTGGAGAAATACTACTATGGGTAAGGTGCTTGTCTTGTACAATTGACCTGGGTTCAGTTCTCAGCACTGCAAATGATCTTCCGAGCCCTACCAGGGGTCATTCAGCAGAGTCAGGAGTAAGTCCTGAGCACAGCTGGATGTGGCCTAAACCTCCAACTCCCACTACACACACACGCGCACACACACACACACACACACATGCGCGCACACACAGGCACAGGCACACACATGGACGCTCACACATATAGACACACACAGACACACATTATACACACAGATACACACACAGCACACACACACAAACACTATACACACGCAGAGACACATATTATACACACAGACACAGACACACATAGAGACACACACTATCAACACACAAGACACACACAGACACACACTATACACACAGACACACACTGTACACACACAGACACAGACACATACACACATTTTTTTTCTCTGTGTAAAAATAATTTTAAGGGAGGTTCGGCAGATTTAACCCCCAACCCTCCAATGTTGTAACGCTGAAGTGAAATTACAGTGTGCTAGAAGAACAGTTTAATTACTGGAAACCACAAAAATTTGGGTCAGCTTAATACTTTGATTTGATGACATGTGTTCATATTTTGGACAAACTAATCTTGGAATCCCAGCTGCTAGAAGCATCTGTTGCAGAGATGTGTGTATGTGGGGGGGTGAGGTGGGGGGGCTGGGGGTGGTGGTTATGGTGGGCATTATGGCAATCTCTCCAGCCCAAAGTCTATTAGCACAGATTGTCGTAAAATGGTGGTATTCCTTGGAGGCTTAATTATTTACAAGCTTTAGAGAAATAAACTTTTAAAAGAATGCAATCATTTATAAAAGCAAAATATAACAGATAACAGAATTTTCTTCTTGATCAGTGATCATATTACTTGTATTCTCCACTATACTGATGAGATTATTATATAGTATTTCGCCAACAATATTGAAAAGAGAAAAAAAATCTTCCCACTAGTGAGAAATTAGGAGAGAGTCTCTCTCCTGATCTTAAAAGGAAAGACTTTTATATTTATTAGCAGTGTAGAAAAGCTAAACAATAATAATATATATATTTTTTTGCTTTTTTGGGTCACACCCAGTGATGCACAGGGGTTACTCCTGGCTCATACACTCAGGAATTACTCCTGGCGGTGCTTGGGGGACCATATGGGATGCTGGGAATCAAACCCGGGTCGGCCACTTGCAAGGCAAACACCCTACACACTGTGCTATCGCTCCAGCCCCTAATAATAATAATTTAATAATTTCCCAGTATTTTTATAAGAAGCTAAATGCAGATGTTCAAGTTAGGTAACTGTCACAGCTATAATCACTATCAAAAATTAAGTGAATCAAAGTGAGTTCTAACAATGCAGTACCTGTCATCTTATCTGCAAACCTAAACTAACCTAACTTATCAGACAATATTTTCGTATAGTCACACAGAAACTTAATTAAGTTAATTAAAACACTAAATTATTTCAGGAAGTAGTTTAGAACTGTAATCAGTGCCAGAACTTTCCCAATGCCTAATTAACTAAGAAAAGTAGTACACAAAGTTATGTTTCCAATTCATTTAGTAGCAGTCTCTACAGGCATTTTTCAATTAGCTAAATTTTCTTTGGATTTATTCAACTTCTTAAAGTTTCAGAAAGCTTTGTAAGTTTAGACTTTGGTGGAAGTTATTTCTCTTTAATCAGGAATTTTCACCTCTTGGGTTAATATTAAGAGTAAGTGGTTGCCAGGAAAAAATCATTAAGGATAATACATAATTATCAAATTTAGCTACTATTTGAAAATATAGTAGAGTTATATTGAGGAGGAGAGAGTTTGAAAAAAATTTATCGAATGGTGGGACAATTTTCCTTGCAACTGTGGTAAATCTAGACTTTATTTATACACTTCCCAGAAACAGTGGACTCTGGAGAAAATTTAAAATTCCCATGAAAAGAGAGGGGGAGGGTAATCATTCTTACCTTGCCTGTCATTGATGAAACAAACAAAATGCAAACACTAAGGAGACAAAGCTCCATTAGCATAAGGAAAGTCAGAAAGATTTTTCCCAAGTCCCACATTTACCAAGACATTACAGGTGACAGATCTTACAGATGACTACTGAGACCTTGGATTGTGGGATATAAATTGAATAAAGGAACAAAAGAAAAATGACCAAAGGCAACGAGATTTGCAAATTGATGTACAGAATAGACATTATCTGGGAACAGTGGGTGGGAAGGGTCTTGGGGGGTGGGGGAGGGTCTTTGGGACTTTGGTGGAAGTAAGTACACACTGGGATGTGGATGCTGGTATTGTGTTGGAATGTTGTATGCATGAAAACCTGTCTTTTAATGATATTTTAAACTGCCATGCTTCAATAAAAATGGGGGACGACCCCAAAAATTTGAGCTGAAGTCATGCTAGCAGAGCCTATATCGTCCCACCTGTCTCTGCCACAGCTTGATGCCAGCATGTTTTTTTTTTTACCATCAAGTTTTTTTTTTTTTTTAATTTTTAAATTTTTGTTAGTGAGACACCCTGAGGTACAGTTGTAGACTTACAAATTTTTGCGCTTGGGTTTCAATTGTACAATGATCAAATACCCATCCCTCCACCAGTGCCCATTTCCTACCACCATGGATCCCAGTATCCCTCCCACCCCCCATTCCCCCCATCCTACCCTGCCTCTGTGGCAGGGCATTCCCTTTTGTTCTCTCTCTCCTGATGCCAGCATGTTTTCTGTCCACCAGACTGAGTGTACACTCTTCGTGGTTTACCTTCCCACTTGACACACCTACAATTTAAAAGGTCCTATATATCATTTAAAAAAGGTCCAATACATCATTTTTAAAAAATGGAAATAAGGAGTAAAGAAGTAAGACAATTCTGACCAGGAGGAGGAGGGCAGGAGGGATAAAACACCATGAAATGAGTTAGGAAATCAAAAGATTAACAGATTCAGTTCCAAAACTCTCCTTTAACATCAAGCGGAAATTATGGGCCAAGAGTTCAGCACTACACCATACAGTTAATTAAAGGAAATGAATGCTCTTTGGTCTATCTATCCAAACTCAAGCTCAGATTCCACGTTTTTGATATATCCATCAGGCTTTATCTCAAGGGATAGAGATGGTCCTCATAATAGGATTATGAAATTTACATGCCTTAGAACACATATAACAATAATACAAAAGTAATAGCATCCATTTGCCTACCCCTTTCCAGGTAATGGAACATTATCATACAGGTAAATCATTTCCCCCCTGATCACCCTAAGTGCTAAGCAAACGGGTACTGTTATTTTCACTTAACAGTTGAGAAAATTGAACTTCGGAGAGGTTAAGAGGCAAGCACACCTCGGAATTGTGAATAAATTGAAGACGAAGGTGAAAGCAAAATGGAGAAATATTAGATTATGTTCTTTTGAAACTGCTTCAGTGGGAGAAATGCAATCTTAATCAGCAACAACAAATACTTATTCAGCATTTACCTCTTGGAGTCTAGCTCTGTCTTGCCTGTGCTCGATATTTTATCAAAAGGAAAGTCTGCATCCCTTCACAGATTTTTCTGACAGCAATTTTTTTTTTTTGGAGACACAGGCCTTTCAAATAATTTACTCCCTGAATACTTTGAAATTTCAGGTGGCAAGGAAAGTAATTATTAAGTATTTAATAACTAATATATAGCTAGCATATCCTTTCCTCAGTTAAACACGGGACAGAGGAGAGAGAGAGATAGAGAGACAGAGAGACAGAGAGAGAGAGAAAGAGAGAGAGAGAGAGACAGACAGACAGACAGACAGACGAAGACAGAGAGACTTCTGATGTGAACAGTGTAGGGATCTTAGCTAATTAAAATATGCTGAGTCAGTTCTCTCTCAGTTCTGTGGCGTTTCTCCTGTCTTACCCTGCCTAACTAGAGTTCTGATCACAAAATTGCCTTTTTCATTTCCTTCACTAGTTTTCCAGGAGCTTTGACTGGCATCCTTTTGACAGTTTCGGAGCACTTTTCAATAACAGTGCAATGAACAAGAGGAATTTAAGGAATCTTGATGTCTGCTACCACTTCAATGCAAAGGAAGGGCCAGAGAGCAAAGCCAATACAGCGTCAGCTCTGCTAACTTTTGTTAGGGCCTGGGAACGGAGAGCAGATGGTTCCCTACTCCCAAGTACTGCCAGGAGTGATCCCTTAATGGGGTAAGCCCTGATGGGTGCTCCCCCCCCACAAAAAAATCCCAAAACCAAACAATAGCAATAAAGCCCTCTCAACATAAATGCAAATACCTTCTAAAACATACCCGGGACTAAAATACTGGGCATATTTTAGATGAAAATAATTGCTGCATTCAAGTAGTAGTATTTTTCATGGTTTTGCTTTCTTTCTTAATGAAACATTTTAAAATAGCTTATTTTAACATGGAAATAAAGAAAAGTGTGACTGAATTTTGTCATGATGGTATCATTATTTTAATAACATATCTTTAGCTACCTACATACATACCTTTGCTATCAAAGACATTATTCTAGCAAAAAAACAATGTTCTCAGATATAAAATTCCACTTCTAATTTCCCCCGGAGAAAAGAGTTGACCTAAATAGTCACACTGTATATTGACTGCATACCTACCTATCTTTTTTTTATAATTTTATTTTTTGTTATTTTGGGTTACACCTGGGCATTGCATAGGGGTTACTTCTGGCTCTGCACTCAGGAATCACTCCTGGCAGAGCTCGGGGGACCATGTGGGATGCTGGGAATCGAACCCGGGTCAGCCACGTGAAAGGCAAATGCCCTACCCACTGAGCTATCGCTCCAGCCCCCATACCTGCCTGTCTTGATGAAAAGAAAACATTTCTTATGGCTCTGTATTTCTCAGGATTGAACTGCGGGAGGAGGAAGGGGGAAAGTGACATGCGTGAGACTTACCCACTCTTCCTCGTCATAGTCGGAGTGGTGTGGGATGGAGTCTTGCCTTTTCATGGGTGGGGGAGGTTCCTGCGGGTCACTCTCCACAGTCAGGTCCTTTGGAGAAGGGGGCTTCTTTGGGACCCCGCCCGGTCTGGCAGTGTAGAGTGCTAAAAGAGCACTTCTGACCAGCTGATCCTTGAAGGCGTGTACGAAAAGCTCTGTCTAGAAAGAAATGCACCGGGATTAGAAACACATCCATGCTCACCAAGAGCCATAAAACAGTCAACTGCAGATGTGTTGGCACTTCAGTGGTCTGGAGGGCGGGGAAAGTATAGACCACAGACAGCGAAAATGATTCATATGGATCAATGAAAAATCGTTCGGTTTGGGGACACAACCAAGACCTTGAATCTTCCTGTCCTAAAAGTTCTGTGTGTGCTAGAAACACCTTCTGTCTCCTGAGCCCCCTCATAGGTTCCAAATCCTGCCTCTAGAGGTGAATTGCGTTGGGGATGATCATTTGAACAAGGACTTCCTCTGTCTTTCAAGAAAGTCCAAATACAGCTTGAATGAGGGTGACATCAGACCATGTGGAATTATCTTTTAAACAAATTTAAAGGCCACCCACAGAAACATCTTTTACAAAAAACAGGGGCGGGGGGGCCTTTTTTTTTTTTTTGCCCTATGGTCAGATTTCAACAGCAGAGCTGAAACAGTCTTTCCCATGAAAGTGGTTGGCATTTATTCCTTATTATCATTTCCTAAACTGTCTCCTCCACCAAATGGTCTCAGTCATGCTCAGTGTTAATGAGGTTGCTGTGAAACTTGCGGATTTTTACAAGCTGGTGGTAAATACCTACTAAGTACTCGGGTAATGACAGCTGCTCAACAGTCAAGAACTTTACAGCTCTACCTTGCAATTTCTTGATGAAATGTTTCATAGCGTTCCCCTGTAATTATTGAAGGGTGCGGTAATTGCTTTTCTGTGTTATAGTACACTTAACATGCACATGGCCTGACAATCTGTTCAAAGAGTGGAGAAGCAACATCAAGAATTGACCCGCATTGTTAACTTATTAATACTTCATAATCTGTTGAAAAGAGTCCCTTGAGCTCAGAGCATTATTTGGAATAACAGTTGGTATCAGCACCGTGTAATGAGAAACTCTTGGACATAATATTAACTTTATGACTGCTGTAACTCAAGGTAATTGTTTGTTGGCACAGTCAATAGTCCCCTGCCTTAACCAGTGGTTACTGAATTGCTTTCACTCTCCATGTTTTTACTGTCAGTAGTTAAGGAAAACCAGTTAAACCATGAGCAAAACAAGTGCTTGATAAAATGAGGACATGTGTGTATGTAGGCCCATCACTGCCACTGATGATGAAATTCTAGCATGGGGCATATGTCTTTCAGTGACCTTGTCATTAACTAGATCAAAATAGCTGAGAAATAAGCTACGGTCCATGCAAGGAAATGTTGATTACTGGCAACATGGTAGAACAGATCTCAAGTTTCTGAAGTCATTGATAAATTAACTTTCCCCTTACTCCATACCACCCACCAGCCCAGCTACCCGCAATCTAGATGCTCCTGTGTAGAGGTTCAGTCACCCCGTCATCTACTCTAAAATAAGTTCCCTATGAATTTTGAACACTTTCCAGTTCTTATAATCATGGGCACAATTCCCAATGTAACTCTCTTAACTGCGAAACTTCATTGGCTGAAGTTTCACAGAATACTTTGCATTCTCTTCTAATGCTTTGAAGATTAGTAGATATGAAATATAAGGTAAGGTAAAGGCCCTCCCGTTGATCGTCGATTTGCTCGAGCGGGCCCAGTAATGTCTCCATTGGAGACCTTGTTGTTACTGTGTCTGGCATATCGAATACTCTCGGTAGCTTGCCGGGCTCTCCGAGAGGGGCAGAGGACTCGAACTCGGGTCGGCCATGTTGGCCGCTTGTAAGGCGAATGCCCTACCTGCTGTGCTATGGTGGAACAAAAGAATATACAGAAATAAAATGTTGGGATATATTTATTTTATATATATTATATTAAAGGTATATATATTATATTATTAATATATAAATTAAGAAATAAAAAAGGCAAATTTTGATGGAAAAGAATTGAAAAGTATCATACGATATTCACAACATACAAAATGAAAGTTATAAAAAGTGTTGATGTAAAAGTAGGCTAGACAGTCCTCAGAGAAGTCAGTATAGTTGTAGAAAAATGGAAAACTTGCTATCTGCATTATTTTTCTACCTAGCATATAGAATGTGAATTTAAATATTAAAAATGTGAATTTACTTCCCTTCTGCTTAACTAAACTATTTTTCTGTTGATGGTTTCAATAAATTCTTTTGATTTAGTTTTAGAGCAAAGTACCTTGTCTTCTTTGAATTGCTGGAACTACGTTTTCAGTTTTCATAATGTATAATTACTGTGTTGCTTGAATATCTGTTTATATCCAATGAATTCTTATACAGTTCTGATAAGTGCCCCCATTTTCTTCCCATCACACGAATACACAGAGATTCCACTTCATCTATTCAAATCTCACTTGAGTTGATTTATCATCAAGGATCCAGAAGAAAATACAATAGATTCTTGTAGTAGTTCTGCAACTCATATTTTTAGGGGAGTAGCTAACTACAATGCACATAAATTTTAAGCTGAAATTTCATAAATGGAGTAATATTTTATCTCTTGGTATGCATATTAAAAAATACACTCTACTTCTTGGAAACCTTCTGAATCAGGAAGTTGAAGATCTGGTATACCACAAACTATTCCAGTGTTTGCTATACACAGGATCTTCCTGATATCCATATATCCTGGAAAACTCTCAATTCTCCTGCCCAACCTTACTTAGTAAACATAGCTCTATTTAGACCTGATATTTTATAGTCAAATTAAATCAACTACTAAATCAAATATTAAGGTTGTCATTTAATTTTAACATATCTATACACTGTTGTTCTTGCAACTATATGATATCAGGGAAATCAAAAGTCCTAGGAAGTTGACACTTTGAGTTCATCGATTTGCTCGAGTGGGCCCAGTAATGTCTCCATTGTGACATTTGTTAGTGTGTTTGGCATATTGAATACATCACGGGTAGCTTGCCAAGCTTTGCCATGCGGGCGGGATACTCTCGGTAGCTTTCTGGGCTCTCTGAGAAGGGCAGAGGAATCGAACTCAGGTCGGCAATGTTGGCTGCTTGCAAGGCAAACGCCCTACCCACTGTGCTATCGCTCCAGCCCAACACTTGAGTATCTACCCCATATCTCATTATTTTTTTCTTTCTGAACATACTAAGGTTTAGCCCTCTACATCTCAAACAATACTAATAGTTGTAGAAATTTGAGAAACTTCTCACGTGAAAAGTAAACTGAGGCAAATGTTAGTGAGAATAGTCCACAGTATAGTTCTGCTTTCAAATGAAATGACAGTTCCGCATCAATGTGTACCTTCCAATGCAGAAATATTAGGTGGTCACCAGAGAAAATAATTTTCGAAATCTAATTTATTTTTCTTATAAGACCATGAAGCAGAGAAAAATAAAAGATGTCAAGAAAAAGAGAAAATAAACCTCACCCAGTAACAGGTTCCATTTCCTACTAGGGAAAAAAAACAAAATTAAAGCTCAGTCAGATTTAAAAAAGAGTATGAGGCCAATTCATTTTGATCCTGTGGCAATACTTTGAAGCTTAGTTTTCAACCTCGTCTATTTTACATTTCCAGATGCTATGAAAGGCAATGCATGCAGAAAGCAGCACCAGTGGGGCTTGGGGTATTTCATTTCCCCCTCTGTAGTGATGATTTGGATCTTACTTTTTCTGAAAGCAACTTTAAAGAATTCTTCAGGCTGTCTGGTGAGTGCTGGCTTGCAGAATTAAGCAGTAGGTCTGCGTGGGTTGCGATCAGGGGTTGTAGCTGATTGATGTTGCTGAGAACTTCTTTTGCTTTGGCTGTATTTTCAGGTGAATAGTAAATAAACTGATATCCAGTACTGCAATGACAATGATAAAAGCAAGTTAACTGGAGCCCTTAATAGCAGATGGCAAATGATATAAAGAACTCCGAATATGACTTCTGATGAACAGATAATAATTATTCAAAGATATTCATAAAACTAGATACAATAAATCAAATCACTGATTTCCCCACTATGATTACATAATGCCAATGATCGGCAACCAATTAGTATTACTCAATAATGAACTTGCGATCAGACCGTACCAAGGGAGAAGCATGAATGTTAATATTCAGGACAATCTGAATAAAAATCCTAACTCTTCAACTTACTAGCTGGGGGACTTTTGGCAGGTTCCAACTTCCTCATCAGGAAAACAGAAATAATTATCCATGATAATTCTAAGGGGTGAGTATAACTGGTGATCATTCATATAAAGTGCCTAAAATTGTATTTGCCAATGTACACTCATTAAATACCACCATATTATTCCCCAGGATACCTGAAAATAGGGGAAAGAAAGCATCCTAGAAAACTGAGAAATTGTGAATACATTTCATTAATTCTACTGTCCATATAGTGAATTTTGCTGGCTAGAAAAGGGGGCATTTATCACCTAAAATTTCATTATGCAGAATCACCATTTTGCAACTTGTGGTTTCTTAATTTGACTGTACCAAGGTAGCTTGGTACTGTTCCAAATATCTAAAATCACTGAAAGAATTACTGACATTCACAGGCATCATCTGGACTGGGAAAACATGTTATGGGGGGTAGGGGGGCAGTCAGACTTCATGGAATATAGGAATCTCTGATGAATCGTAGGAGAGATCCAGGGAGCCTTCCAACAGAAATAAATGGAAAACGGTAAAGCAGAGAGCAGAGAGAAAAAGGAGAGACCTTGGTTGGTTCAACATGCTTCCATGGATTGCCTCCAATCTCAGAAACAGATTTTTGCAACCCTTTTGGAGCACTTATAGGATATTTTCTCTGCACTTATCAGCTCAATTATTACAATTCCCATACTTACATTTGCTATTCTGAATCAGTAGCACCCAATCAGAAAAATCAATATCTAGACAGCACTCACCTCTTTTCTTTATGCTAAAGATTTTCGGGGGAAGTGAAGTTTTTTCAGGGGTACAATACTTTTTTTCAAATAAAACTGTCATCATTTTAAATATTTTAATATTTCTTGGTATTTTATGCAAGCATATGTATTTCACACCAAATTTGTCTATTTTTATTTCGTGTGTAAAATTTTATGCATGCAAAAACATGTTTACATATATTTTTATGTGGGCATATAATACATGTTTGACAGCATATTCACCCCATTTTATGCATGTGAGCATGCATATTTGTATTTACATAATGATAAAGGGTACCTGGTTGCCTAGACCATTCAGAACACGGGGTCGGAAGCCCCCAGGAAGGTGGGCCTGGGTCTGTAATGGCCAAGAGACACAGCACTTGTGGAGACAAGAGAAATTGCTCTTGATTTTGTACTTGGAGACCTTTATATATCAGCAGCAGGAGCATAGGATAGAAGATACCTAAAGTATTTATTATATGTATTCATCACAGGTGAAAATCAAGTTTCAATGGCGACGGGGAGAGAGAAACAGTGCAGGGTAATCTTCTCTGTCTTTTCCGGTCCCCTCCGGAAGGAGGAGGCCTTGAACAAGTTCCGTGGACTGGACCAGACCCTCCTCCCCTTCTACTGGAGCCAACTCAACCCACACAATTTTTGCAGAGAAAATAACTCTCTCTGGGGCAGATGCTGAGGCAGGGTGGGCATCTGTGTGTAGCCCGGCACCTCTGAAAGCCTGGAGCGAGTGTTTCCCACACACCCAATGCAGGATCCCCAAGGGCAGCGGTTCCCGTCTCGTCCCTTCTCTCTGCAGTCTCCCTGTTGGCTTCCTGCTGCCATCTCCTCATCCTGGGAAGCTCCCAGGTGCTGAGCCCTTGCATGGCTGCAGTTCTGCAGACCCAGGGGGCTACCCTCTTTCCCCTCACAGAATTGAACTGTGCTTTTTCAGAGCATGATTCTGGTCCCCCCCTGCCCACCCACCTCCCACCTGCAAGCATTCCTCTGATACCAGCACCTTTCTTCTTTACCCAGCATGCACTCCTGCTCCTTCACTGGCACTTTCTTCCTAAATATCATCGACTCTCCTTTTGACCCTACATGTCTGCTTCTCTGCATATTCCTTTAAGCAACTCTTTGTCTTCCTTCTTCTCTTCCCTTTCTTCCCCCCTTCTCTCCTTTTCCTTCCTTGGTTCCCATCCTTCCTTCCATACTTTCCTCCTTCCCCCCTCTCTCTGCTCCTCTTTATCCCCCCCCCCCGTCCCTTTTCTCTCCTCCCTCCCTCCTTGTCTTTCTTCCTTCCTGGCTCTGTGTACAGGGTTGGCTCCCAGTGGTGTTCAGGTGACCATGAGGTGGTCATGAGCTACCAATCAAATTCAGGTGCTCAAACCACCGAAGTATCCCCTGGCCCAACAATAGTTATTCCTTATATTCACTAGTGCCATGAGCATCAAATTTTGTAGGCCTAGACTTTCTTGGCCCTGAGGACAGGCCCTGGTATTTATAAAAGAAAGTTGATTCCCTGAGAGTAAAACAAGTCTATTCCCATGAGTAAAACAAGCATACCAGGAAATCCTGAGGCAGGTAGGTTAGCAATGTCTGAGCCCCTGTAAACCTTCAATTATGCTACCCAAGGAACCTGATAAAAATTCCTTCTAGTTTCTTAATCTAAATGAAATCTCATGCTCTTTTGTACTCCATCTTTAATTCACCCCAAGTTGTGCTGGTTCCCTTTCATGACCCTCATTCATTGGTTTCCCCTCTCTGTGTGTCCCATAACTCCTCTCCTTCCTAAGTTTACTTTAGAAGCACCGTGTGTGAGAGAGGCATAATTCTCAGTTCCCAATTCAGTCTCTGTTGGAGCAGAGTTGAGTAGGTAGCAGCCATTTTTGTTCTTCTAATGATCTTTTAATGAGCATCTTACCTAGTAAGGCTGAAAGATTCATTTTCTACAATAAAAGTCAACATTGGTGTCCAGAATTAAATTGTATGGTATGGAAAAAAAATCACCACCCACAAAATAATTTTAAGTCAACATAAATTTCATCTATCCATTTAGTGCTTTACTCTTGAAACATGTCATATATTTTAACAGTTATAGCTTCTTAAATGGAAAATTATGAGCATAACTTAATTATAGAGAAAAAAAAATATAGTTAAACTCTTTTATAGTAGTCTGAAATTTAAACTGAATCCAAACACTAAAATCAACTATCAATCAGAAGAAAGATAAAATATTTGCTTGGTCAAAAAAAGATTTTATAGGATATAATAATAGAGTAATTATAAGAGTAGTGAAGTAAACTTAATTTCTTGGTAAATATTCCATTGATTAAATAATTAACTGCACTGTGCAGATGTTTATATATTAATAAAAATTGAGGGCCTCAGTTAACTAGGATCCACATACATATTCATACCTGTGTAGACATGCTATTTCTGGAAGTCATATTTTGCAGATAAAAAAGAAAATAAAGCACATAGAGAAATAATACTCCCTTTATAAACTCTAATTGTGAATCAAAATATAATAAAGCAAGGGTTTAAATACCTTTGAGTGTATATTTATGCTTCAAGCTTTTTTCTAGTCCCCTTTATTTTCAGACATTTTGTTGTTGATTACCAAATCCACTTGTGCAGTATAGACCTTTCTTCTAAAATCCACTAAAAACTAAAGGTCCCAGGACTAGAGTCATATTACAGTAGGAAGGGCATTTGCCTTGCATGTAGTCAACCTGCTTCTGTCCTTGGCATCCCATATGGTTCCGCAAGCCTATGAGGAGTGATCCCTGAGCACAGATTCTGGAGTAAACTGTGAGTACTTTGGGTGTGGCCCAAACACCCTGCTCATCTTGCCCCCCCCCCAAAAAAAATTAAACTAAACCCAAAAGGCTCCCGTGGAGCCCAAAAGATAGTCCTAGGAGTTAAGATACTTGTTTTTCACACAGCTGACCTGTGTTCAAGCCCCAGCATCACACATGGTCCCCTGAGCACTGCCAAGAATGATCCCTGAGTACGGAGCCAGGAGTAAGTCCTGAGCATTGTGGGGCTATTTCTGCCACACCCCCTCCCCCAAAGAAAGATTTTCTTGATGGTTTCTGTCCTTGACAAGGTACCACCCCGCTCCTATTTCTCAACAACCAGAATCTTTGATGCCTTCCCATGACGGCTTATTACACATCCACTAGATGTGTGATCTGGTTTCTTTTCTTAAATTTCATTCAAAAAAATTTTTTTTTCAGGAAATTGGCAGATTATTTCCCTTCAAAGCATGTGCGGAGTCAAACCACTAATCTCCACACTGAGTGCAACATCCCTGCTAGCTGCCACTCATCTTCTACCACCAGGATGGCTTCAACAGTCTGCAAAGGAGTTTCCCCACTAGCCCTTACTCTCGAACATCCAAGTCTTTATTTTTATTATTTATTTTTATTAGTGAGACATCATGAGGTACAGTTGCAGACTTACAAATTTTTGTGCTTGGGTTTCAGTTATACAATGATCAAGTACCCATCCCTCCACCAGTGCCCATTTCCCACCACCACGGATCCCAGTATCCCTCCCACCCCCCATCCCCCCTATCCCACCCTGACTCTGTGGCAGGGCATTCCCTTTGGTTCTCTCTCTCTTATCGGGTGTTGTGGTTTGCAAAAGCGTGGGTGACAATCATGTTTGGTCTATAGTCTACTTTCAGCATGCTTCTCCCATCCTGGGAGGATCCTCCCAACACCCTTTATTTGGTGTTCCCTTCTCTATCTGAGCTCCCTTTTCTGTTAGCATGTGTGGTTGGCCTCCAAGCCATGGAGTAAAATTCCTGGTACTAATCTCGGCCAGGTGTTAATCTTGGATGTTAGTCTATTTTGTTACTTTATGTTCCCCAGATGAATGCAATCTTTCTGTGTCTATCCCTTTCTTTCTGAGTCATTTCGCTTAACATGAACTTACA